ATCCAATGCTTTTGTGACCTGATCATAAAAGGCAATCAGGTTGGTCTGACATGACCTGCCCCTAATGAAACTGTGCTGGTTGCCCTTGAGCGTCATCCCTGAAGCTGGCCCATTGCAGATGTGCTCCTTGATGATCTTCTCAAAGAGTTTCCCTAGGATTGAGGTAAGACTGACGGGCCTGTAGTTGCCGGGGTCCTCCCTCCTCCCTTTTTTAAAGATGGGGACCACGTTGGCTATCTTCCAATCAACTGGCACCTGGCCCGAGCACCATGAGCGCTCATAAAGCCGTGCCAAGGGCCCTGCAATAACCCCTGCTAGCTCCCTCAACACCCTGGGGTGGAGAGCGTCTGGACCTCCTGATTTGAACACGTCCAGCCCCTCCAGAAGCTCTCTAACCCGGTCCTCCCCAACCTGAGGTTTGGAGGCGTTACCACTGAGTCCGTCTTGCATCACGGTGAGGAAGTCCCAGTCCCTGCACAAGAAAACGGAGGTGAAGAACTGGTTAAAGATCATCCCCATCTGCCTTTCACTGGCACTTTCCACTGAAGAAGCATCTGGTGCTGGACATTGTCAAAGATGGGATACCAGATTCAGTAGATCCTGGGGCTGTCCCAGTGTAGAGTCCTATGAGAGAAGAACCAGCAGGAAAAGAAAGGAATCTTGCAGGAAGACAGGGATGGCAAAATAAAAGCCTAATACTCTGAGCAAGGCGGGGGCGGGTTGAGAGAGAGAAAGAGGGAGAAATTCCTCTCATTCTTCCTGGCTAAGGTAGCGCACTTTCCTTCCCTTGTCTGGTTTTGTTCAGGGCACATCTCAGGCAGGCCAAGGTCTCTCTGGTGCTTCAAGAAAGAAGGAAATGGTTATTTATGGGGATTCCTGGGAGTTTGCTCACCAGAACCTGGAAGCACCCCAGAGACTTTGTTCAGCATTAACCCATTCACCACAAGGGAGACTGCAGTGACACAAATGATGTGTGGTGTATCTCGGCTCTTCTGGCATGGTTCAGTACCTGCTGAGGTGCAGGAGCTTTAAGCCCAGTTTATGGAAATGGGAGTCTCCTCCCTTGCTTGCTCCAAGGGCCTTATGGCTAAGGGCAAGCAAAATTTGGGGGTATCCAAACCCCAAGTCTCCAGGCTTGGGCCTGCACATAGGATCCCTGCCACCGGTTTTGGAAATATCTGAAGCCCCAGGTACAGGTGGAGGATGTTTGCTGGTTGTAGGGCCACTTATGGTTCTGAACTCTTGGATTTGGAATTAGTTTTGGCTAATTTGGCCTCGAATACAAATTATATTTAAAAAAAAAAATCTCAGCTGGCAGCATGATGGGAGTAATCTGATAGGCCAGTGCAGGGGGGCAACTTGTATGAGATGAATGGATGTCAGAACAAGGTAGGCCAGGATGTGGATTCTACACAAAGGACCCACTTACTGTTTCTGTTGCTGCTTTCTTTGATTGTCAGTGTCCTGTCCTGGCTGGTTCACCTGAGAGGCCACTGAGACCTTAGGCAGACCTGAGAGATTCAGATCATGCGGGAAGAAGAGACAAAACTTTATGAAGTTCTCAATGAAGAGCTGCCCCTCTGTGGACTGCACTGGTTCTTTTCTCCCAAGGCTGTGCTCTCATGGCGTTGAATGGAGCAGGTTTCAGCTGGACTCCTCAGGCAGCAGTGAGGCCTCTGAGGTGCACTCAGAGCAGGAGCCAGGACATCAGGGATCTAATCCTGGCCCCATAACAAAAATGCTGTATGACCTCAGGCTGTCACATCTCTCTGAACTCCTCCCGTATAATTAGCCATTGAAACAGTGAAAATCCATACCCTTTTCCTAGGTGTGGAAGTGTGACCCTCCAAACAGCAAGTCTCTGATGTGAAAGCAAGTGTGAATGATCTTCCAGGTTCTTTGTGTTAATCCTTGAAGAGAGGACCCCTGAATATCTTCTGTCTTCTGTGCATAATCGTTGCATTTCTAGTAGGAGTGGGGAAAGCCCAGCAGGCCTGGTGGGCAGGCTGCATAGATCAGGGATACAGAGCGGCATGCTGAGACCTGCCGTTTGTGTTGGCCACATCTCAGCAAAAAGTTGAAGATGGTATTGGAGAACTTTCTGAAACCCCTTTGGCCTAATGCTGCTGTTCATCTCTCTCCTGGTGGAAGTACCTTGCCTTCTGGAGGAACCCAGTAGAAGCATGTATCTTATCTTGCAGCAGGCTGGTTACTGAGATGCACTTGGGAGAATGAATGGTGTTTCTGCCAGGAATCGGAGGATCCTTTTAAGGAGGTCTGGGAGCCATGGAGCACTGTATTGACTTGGCCTCGGGGAGAGTTAGTATAGAAAGGGGAGTGATCCTTTCTGCATTTACCAGCTTCCTACAATGTCTGGCTTAGGAATCTGATCGTCAGTGGCCACCGTTCCATCCTACTCGCTCTTCTTAATGCTATCTATCTACTCATCTATCTCCACTGGGAGGAAGCTGGGACTGTGCTTTCCCTAGTGAAAGGAGGCATGGTCTTTTGTAATGCTTGCAGTGAAAAGCAAGGCCTGGCTCCCATTCTGCCCACATTCTCTTAAAACAGGTCAGCCATCTATGGCTGGCTGGCTGAATGTGGTCCGCAGAACTAGGGGTTGGCCTTTGACAGCTTTCCAGTGGCACAGGGTTTGGTGGCAGCGAGGCTGGGTTGTAACACCAGCCTGCCTCAGACCTCAGCCACCTCATTTTGGGAACAGAGAATGTTGCTGACCACTGTCTTCAATATAAAACAGTGTGCCCTATGAATTGAAAATTGGGCAAAGAAAAAAAGACAGGGGAAGCATATTGCCTCCCCCAGTTGAAATGCTTGGTGAGAGCGAGTGATGCAAGTGGGCTTGCTTACCCACTTGTACCTGGCAGGCAGCACAGCCGAGGGGGCCCCTTGCTCCCCCAGACAGCAGGCCAGAGATCTTGGGAGGTGGAAGAAAAGGGGCTTCACTGCAAAGGCCACATATTTTCAGTGTTACCACAGTAACCAGGCTGTTAAGGAGACATAGATTAAACCTTCCCAGCTGCTGTGTGTGTTTCTTCTCTGCAGCCCAAGTTTTCCCTCCCACCTTGGACGTGGCATTGTGGGAGCTGGAAACTGTAAGCAGCAGCAGCAGGTGGTTCTGATTTTCCTGGGAATCTGCCTGCTCGGGGTGGGTACAGCCTGGCAGCAAGGCCAGGGTCAGTGATGTAGAGATCTGAGTTTGAGCAGTCACTGGGAGAGGCTTCAGATGGTCCTATCCAAGATAGAAGGCCTATAGAGAGAGTCTAATGCTTGCCTTAAGGTAGATCCCTGGATCAGTCTTGACTCTCCAGCCCAAACTCTGAATCTTGAGAAGCAGCACTCAGCAGGCTGATCGCATACATTAAGCCTGGACAGTAGGTGGATGGAAAAAAAGCCCAGGGGAAATGGGAGGTAGTGCTGGTGGTTCACTGTGGAGTTTTCTTCTCTCTGAATCTGCTTTGAGTCTCCTCCAGTGTGGTGCAAAGGGGAGGTGTGTTATTGGACAACATCCCTCAAGTGAGATGTAAGCCTGTTGTCAGGTCTACTGGTGATCAATAAGGATCACATGGCACCTTTTCTAAGAGTTGGGTGTTTGTATCCTGATCAAAGTCCTGTTCTGTGGTGTACCTTTCCTTTCATTCTGGTATAATCACCCTGACATCCCTCCTGGACATGGGATACGCTTGCACTCTCTTCCTGAAGTTTCTGTGCAGACTTGCTGTGAGACAGTTGTTTTGTCTGAGTCCAGAACTAGCTGCAGGCCATTTTGTGCCTATCAGCACTTTGAAGTTGTTGGACAAAAGTCAGCATAGGACAGAACTTTGTGAAGCTAGGTTTCTGAATGTCCTGTGCAGCACTGGCGGATGGTCTGCAGAAAAGGGGAATGGTTACATGATGCTGGCTCTTTCCCCTTTGTTTCCAGTTGCCTGAATTGCATTGGAGGAAAATTTTAACAACCCTACTTCCCTCATGCTACTTTCACATGTTAGCAGTACTTGCCCCTACTGGTGTCATTTGGTTGTGATGGTGAGGAAAGGTGGCCTGCACAATCGTTCGCAAGTTGGAAGGTGTCCTCTTTTCAGGTGTTACGCTCTTCTAGTTAGCATAAGTCATCAGGTCATGTGTAGCTCTCAGTGGATTGTTGGCCCTTCAGCCTGACATCTACCCCCTTTTCTCCCCATTATGGCATACAGCCCTATGCTAACCTACCGGGTGGATGCAGACAAAGGGTTCAACTTCTCAGTGGGTGATGATGCCTTTGTGTGCCAGAAGAAGAACCACTTTCAAGTCACAGTGTACATCGGCATGCTTGGAGATCCTAAGTATGTGAAGACGCCAGAGGGCCTGAAACCCCTTGAGTGCTTCTATCTGAAACTGCATGGAGTCAAGGTAAGCCCTGAAAGGAGAATCTGCAGTATCTGAGGACTGGGAAAAATCACGGGGTGGATGAACACAGTGTTGGTGTGTGTAGAATGGTACGTGTCAAGGAGTGTGCCTGTGTGAATCTGCATGGGTGAATGTGTATTTTGTTACCATGTGTGTGAATAGAGGCCTAAATGTTGAATATGCACCTTCCACACACTCTGTGGGTGCCTGTGTGTGGAAAAGGTGAGTAACGCTGCTCTATGAGTGAGTGTGCCTGATAGACAAGGGTGCTGAGTGTGCCATCTGTGTGATCATGCCTGCATGGGTGTGGGTGGGTCACGTTTTGTGACCAGTACTTTTTGCTCAAAGCAAGGGTCTGAGCCTTGTACTCTAGCCCCACCTCCTGGGCTGAGGTAGGCCAGAGTCAGTCGCAGAGTATTTCTAACACGGGCACTCAGGAAACTGCTCCTGGGAAATCTGGCCTGTGTGCGTGCACATCTCTCTGGACACTGGCCCTTGTATGTGTGAGTGTGGATGGGAGAACCCAGGAGGAGGCCAGTTGGTCCAAACTCTGTGATGCTTCAGCCCTCTACCTTTCCAGACTCACAACTGGAGAGGAGGCGGCAGCACAGGTGATGGGTAGCAGGAGAGGCACAAGGTAACCAAGCATCTCCTGAGCAGCGGTTATGATGCTCAAGATTGGCAGATTGGCAGGTGGCTGGATTATACACCTGTGTGAGAAGGGGGTGAGAGTGGGTAAAGCTGCAACATTCCTGTCTCTAACATGTACCTGAATCTTCTCTTCAGCTAGAGGCCTTGAACCAGTCGATCAACATAGAACAGTCGCAGTCTGATCGTAGCAAACGTCCCTTCAACCCTGTCACGTAAGTGCTCCTGCTGCTGCTGTGTGCGTGCATGTTTGTGTACCATCAGAGAACCACCTGAGGAGTGGAAGGAAGGCAGAGTGGGGCCAGGGATCCTTGAGGTGCTAGGATGGAGGGACCAGGTAGGTTGGGTATATAAAATGTTCTTTGTCTCTTCCCCAGATGAGGTCCCATCCTCATCATCTTGAACATATTAAGTCTGTGGGGGAATTTGCCTTTCCTCTGGACACAGATTTTGTGCATGTTGGTGCCACCCGTTGACATGAAGAAAATGTGGGGGTTCCCCAGATTACTGGAACTGGGTTTGGTTCTCCTACAGTAGAGGAAATGACCACTCTTCATGTGGCCTCCTTTTGATCTGTGTTCTCAATTACTCTCCTGCTTCCCCTTTCCCAGGGTCAACCTGCCTTCTGAGCAGGTTACAAAGGTCACTGTGGGGCGGTTGCACTTCAGCGAGACCACAGCCAATAACATGAGGAAGAAAGGCAAGCCTAACCCTGACCAGAGGTGAGCAGCAACATGATCTTCGTCCTGGCTGTTATGGTGGGGTGGGTGGGGAGGAGGATGAAGAGGGGGGACCATTTGGTTAGTGAATTGACATTGAGCGGTGCCTTCCATTTGGGAGCACTGCTGTTTTAATCAAGACATCTTGTTAGAGTGAGCAAAGGGAAGATGGGATCCAGGGGTTGGTTGTGAGTGACTGCACTGCCATCCTTGGAAGACACTGCAGATCATGAACCAGCAAGAAGCTCAGCTGGTCAGTGACAGCGAGTGGCCAGGACCTTGGGCTTACATCTCATCTGAGAGATGGTAGTTGGGCTCAAGCCACACCACCTCTTCTCTTCTTCCCTCTGGCAGCTTCCTGAGCATCTAACTCATAATGAAGCCTGCACCCTGATCAAGTTGCTCGTTTAACTGGGTGTGTGTGGTAGACTCTGGCCTGAATACTGGGCTAGCCCAGCCAGGCCCAGGTCATGGAGAAAAATTTTGCTAGTTGAAGGTGAAGCCAAAGGCGAGTAAGGGAGACTCTACAGCACTAGTAATACAAGGTAGAAGGGAGGCTGCTTCTGAGAGAGGAAATAGCTGGAAATTAGGCAGACAAAGGGCAGAAAAGTAGGAGATGGGAGGCTTGTAATGTCAGGCAGGTGTAATGTGTCATAAATCTGATTCACCAGTACCTGCCAGAACTGGCTTCTTACACTTATCTTCCCCCCACCCCCACCTTTCTTCCCTCACATCTACCCAAACAATTGCCTGCCTATGTCCTTAGACCAACACGACTACAACTGAAAACCCAGAAACTGTTCAGAGTGGGAATATCACCCACATGTCACAGTGCAAAGTATCCCTGTCTGTTTGAGGGGAGTTGATACCAGCTGTGTCCAGGACAGATACTGGGACATCTCTGTATGGGAAGCCAGTATCAAATATGTCCATCTTGGAATGTGTACTTTGCTGGTGCCCTTATAGGTATCTCTTGTTTGCAGGTACTTCATGCTGGTTGTGGCCTTGCAGGCACATGCCCAAAATCAAAACTACACGCTCGCAGCCCATATCTCTGAGCGCATCATTGTCAGAGTAAGTCCACACTTTTCTGTCCTCCTGGACACCTCTCTCCGGCTTTTGGGAGCTCCACTGCCATTTGCTGCACTGTCTGAGATATGCTGCCAACTTTTCCTGCCTTTTCAGTGCTCTCCACTCTCAATCCCCATGCACTGAATGAGGAAGGCAGCCCACAACAACCAGCCAAAGAAGCCCCCTTTCCCAGCCTTAGTAGAAATCCAGCAGGGAAACATGGACAGAGAAAACGGCACATTCCTCAGGAGGGTCACTGAGGCTGGTCCTAGGGAAGGGGCTGTTGGGGGTGAGGGATCTGCATGGTCAGGATTGCCTTAGAGAGAGCCACTGCAGATTTCTCCAGACACATAGGCCCGAGGGGTAATGCCATGTGGAGCAGCTGAGGCAGCAGTGTTCAAGTTTGCAGGCAAGGCTGTGAGGAAGGATATTTAATGTGCAAAGGGCTTGATTCTAGGAGCCCTCTACTGCCCTGGGGAGTATTTTGGTTGGGGCTCGAGGACTGTAGCTCTGGGGAAGAAGCTGGGTCTTGTAAAGCCATGCAGAAGCAGGAAGCAGTAAAAAAAAAAAAAAAAAAAAAGGAAGCTGGGACGCTGATGATCTCACCTCA